TCGTAATAGCGTATAAATCGGAATCAGTAAAAGTAAAGATAATTTTAGTGTGCAATTTATTTATTCAACAAACAATTAATTACAAAAAAAAATTAATAAACTTAAGACTTGTCACCCACAGCAAACAAAGTAACCTCGCCAACCTAAAAGGAAAAATAATTAATTGAACATAAATAAATCGTTAATTGGGCACGTATTTAATGAAATAATTAAAAATAAGAAAGACAACCGATATGTATTAGTGTTATAGTTTACAACTGAAGTTAACCTGCACATGTGAAGGGGTTCGCAGGGCGTACAAAACGCTTTCTGTAACGTCGTCTACTTTCAGTGGAATACGACCGTTGTAGGTAGTACTTTTTGAAAAGCCTGCAAATTCAATTATGTCTGTGTCCACGTGACCTGGACTTATATTCTGGAACGCAATTAAATTGAAACAATTCATCTAACTGAGTACACATATTTATCTAAAAACCTACCGTTATTTTTATATTCAGATTATTTCGATGTAGCTCATGTCTTAAAGTTTCTGCTAAAGCCGTAACCGCATGTTTGCTGGCGGGGTATACGTTGACATTTGGGACGTTAGGAACCCTGTGACCACAGCGGCTGTTAATGTGAATTACATGACCACTGACGTTGCTCTCTCTCATGTTTTTAACAGCTTCTCTCGTGGCCAGACACAATCCCAAAACATTCGTGTCAAAAATTTCTTTCCACTGTTCAAAATTTCCATCAATCAGGGTGTTATTTCTTATGATTCCAGCGTTATTGATAAGAATGTGCACGGGTCCTAGATTCTTTTTTACCCAGTTGAATCCTTCGATTATCTCTTTCTCTTTTGACACATCAACTTTCACCCCATAAAGTTTGCCATTAGTTCTTTGAAGTCCTTTCGCGAATTCCTCCACTCCTTCTTTTCTTCTAGCAAATCCAGCAACCTGCATGTAATTTAATATGTATAACTCGGCAATACAGTTAACGGTTCATATGTTGGTTCTGGCGACCCTTTTACTAAATACCACCCTCATCAACAGTAAGACTCGTTCAGAAAGTCGTTTAAAAACTAAACCAATGATATTTTAATTCTTGGTTGGCGGATTTTCAACGAGAGGATTGAATTAAAACCGTTGAAACGAGTTTGTAATGTTAATAAACAAGTCTGCAATTACCTTTTCGTAATATTATATTAAAAATTTACAACAACCCCGTCACACAATTATATCCAATAAATAACATAATTATAGAAAATACCACAAATGGCGCGGTGTACGCCATCTGTAGTACGATGTTACATTTTTGGATTACGTATGCTCCAACAAGGTCCATTTAAATATATGGATATATACTTGCTGAAATGAATCCCGGCGTAGCTAACCTCAACGTGATAGGCACGTTACCATAATCGAATAAAATAATTCGATGTGGTCTGTATTCTGTAGAAACTGCCAGACGCTGATCGCGATTTCGATCATTTTGGATCTCATCAGCGCTCCGCAGGCAGCTCCGACAGAACACTGACCAACTTTTACCTGCTGTCTTAACAGTTCGTTTTAGATAATACCACAAATATAATATAATTGTGTTTTTACACTTTGTTGAACCATAAAAGAAGAGTGGTAGATGTTTATGTGGCATGTACTTACTATTATGCCAGTTTGGGCCAGTTTTACTGCGATGGAAGCCCCAATGCCGGCACTAGCACCAGTCACTACAGCGACTTTTCCAACCCAACGATCCATTGCAACAAAGTGTTTAAAAGTGTTCTTTTTTTAAAACAGCCTTATATATTTATGTTAAGAATGCATTTTGAAAAGCAAGAATGCTGCAAATGGAAAGATAACAATTTCGTTCAAACTGGAGTGGCGCATGAATATTGTTATACAGCGAACGGGTTACATATTTTAATTACACACACACACACCTTACCACCCTTTTTACTGACGTTAGATTCGGCCTCCCCAATTATAACTGATTCCGCTGATGAAATGGTAGGTAAACATGTGTTAGTTTGCAGTCTTCAATAAATAATTCAGATGTACCAATTTTGTACCGATGATAGACGGACTACATTTACATATTTGTTTATTTATGCATTTACTAAAGTTTAAGTTATTAAAAAAATGTAAAACATTTACAAATATTTTAACGATAACAAAGGAAAAATTTTGCTCAAAAAAAACATTAAATTAAAAGTCTTTTGCCAAGCAAGAACAAACCAAAAAGTATTTGACGCTGTTTATTTGTCGCCGCGTTCATCGTCCATGTTTCGCACCCGTACAGCGCCGCGCTCGAAACAGACATCTTTAGGAATCTTCTTCGAATTTCTAATAAATAATACATACGATTTCTTACCCTGGATGTACCGTGTACTACGAATCAGTAAAAGTAAAGATAATTTTAGTGTGCAATTTATTTATTCAACAAACAATTAATTACAAAAAAAAATTAATAAACTTAAGACTTGTCACCCACAGCAAACAAAGTAACCTCGCCAACCTAAAAGGAAAAATAATTAATTGAACATAAATAAATCGTTAATTGGGCACGTATTTAATGAAATAATTAAAAATAAGAAAGACAACCGATATGTATTAGTGTTATAGTTTACAACTGAAGTTAACCTGCACATGAGGAGGGGTTCCCAAAGCGTACAAAACGCCTTCGGCAACATCTTCAGCTTTAATCGCGGGAATGTCCTTGTAATTATTCTTGGGAAGACCGGCAGCTTCGATTATTTCTGTTTCTGTATATCCAGGACTTATGCTCTACATCATAATAAATACATCAACTATAACATTCCTGTAGGTAATAAATGTAGAAAATCTTACCGTTATTTTAATCTTCAGATTATTTCGCGTGATTTCGTGCCTCAACGTTTCGGCTAAAGCCGTAACCGCATGTTTGCTGGCAGGGTATACGTTGATATTTGGGATGTTGGGAACGCGATGACCCGAGCGACTGTTAATGTGGATTATATGACCATCGACGTTATTTTCTTTCATGCTTTTGATAGCTTCTCTAGTCACCACGCATAAACCGAAAACGTTTGTGACTAAAACTTCTTCCCATTGCTGAGAGTTTCCATCAATCAGGGTGTTATTTCTTATGATACCGGCGTTATTAATAAGGATGTGCACGGGTCCTAGATTCTTTTTTACCCAGTTGAATCCTTCGATTACCTCTTTCTCTTTTGACACGTCAACTTTCACCGCGTAAAGTTTGCCCTTGGCTCCTTGCAGTTTCTTTGCAAGTTCTTCGACTCTTTCTTTTCTTCTAGCGAATCCGGCAACCTGTTGTATATTCAATTATGTGCAAATTGTTGTAATTTGTTTATCGAAAAGGTCAAAAAATAATATTGATACCGCATTTTATTATTACCAAATTCGAATGGGTTGAAAATTGTTTTATTTTTTAAACCAACAGCCGACGTTTCGCTCTTTGTTGTAGGTTTTATAAAGATAGGTTTAATGGTTAGTATCAATACTTCGTTTACTTTCTGTAGCGATGTGACCTTCAGTTTGACCGGCGCAAAGTAGAAAAGAACAGCACTAGGCCAGAAAAGGAAGGAGACAACTCTCGGCCAAACTCTTAACCGGTGAGGAGCGTATAATCGGTACAGTACTGCACGGAAAAATTGACCATTTTATCCACTACAATTGCATTGCTCAAATGTGCTGTTATTGGTACCATTTACTACTGAAAATATCAACAGATGTTTCATTATATTTGAAGACATATTTAAGGCTTTAAAGCTTGTTTTCGACTCGCACTACTATTCATGATTGAACAAAACTTTTGGCAGGTACTGTATGAAAAAGTATGTTTAA